TGCTCTAGGACAATATACAGGCCTGATTAATTTTGGGTTAAAATTTGTTCATATTAATTCTCTAATTAGCATAATAATTCATAATTTTTTTGTTCTGTTCTGTTCTGTTCATATTAGTTACCTGATTTACATAATTAGTTTTCAGCTTTTCTATCAATATCTCATGTACAAGTAATTTTGAATTAATGTGTCTTCAATACTCTCAGCACACGGGAGTTCTTTCTAAGCTTTCTTTGATTTATTTTTAAAATATAGTTTCTGGATATTTTTTACCATTTTGGCTACTATCATATCGGCGCCGTTTTTGATTTGTTCTAAATCAACAACACAATTGTGAGCTTCTCTGAATTGACTTGAGCTTCCAAAACAGAGTAGAGAGAGAGAGAGACTTACCAGTAATATTAATTTGGAATCACTGTGTTAAACTTTGAATTGTTTCCCAATACTGTTATTTTGTGAATTTTCTTGACTTCATCTACTTAGTAAATTAGATCCACGGTTGACAGAAGCCGAAACTTTTGAACTGGTGAAAATCAGTACAGATTGTGTGTATGCTTTACCAGAACAAATAATGACAGCCAAGGGCAAAGAAGAAACATATGAAGAAGCAAAAGAACAAGAAGAACTAGTCAGTTTGACATTTGAAAGTTTACATGCTCTTTTAACAGAGATTCTAGTGAAGAACTGTACACCAGCTGGCATTCATGATATTTTCAAGGTATTAATGAACAAGATATTTGAAGTTGAGCTACTCAAATTAATATTAAATGGAGATTTTAATTTGATGCATTCTATATACCATAAATAAGACATTCTTATTTAGGCATCAGACTAGAGTGAAAAGCTTTAGTGGTAATTTGGTTCTGAAATAGGCTGTTTAAAGTCAAAGTAATACAAATGTTGGTATTAATGTAATTGTTTCATTTTTGTTGGTAAAAGAAATACATAGTTAATCACAATAAGTTAATCTGGCCATGCTTTGTTTTACCAGAGAATGAATAACTTGTTTTGTTGCGCTGCAAATGTTGACTAATACTCATTCATAATTTTTATAACAAACAACAAATCATTTTGTTGGTTTAGTCATTTTTTTAGTCGCACATGCAAACACTTGATGTGATATGATATCATCAATGTTTTTCCCATACATAAGTTGATCAGAAACTGTGTTCTTCAATCTGATACGTCAAACCAATCATTGTCATTTACATAATGTTAATGAGGGTTCAGCAAACTCACTGAATTGACTAGCCAGGAAAGATCAAAATGTTTGAAAAATGAGTGTTTATGGTATATGAGTTAGTTAAGTTCAGCAAACGTTAAATGAAAATTTTACTTCATAGTCCAATCTAATGCATATTCACAATGTTATTGTTCATATAGCACCTGGAGCCATGGTTGTATTCTATTAACAATCATGAAAGAGAGAGATCGATGAATACAACATTGGTTTTATTACAAGCTTACTTTGAGAATATGCAGCCATATGGTGTGGTAAGATGTCTTATTTTACATCAGTGTATTACCAGATAGGAATTCAAAACTGTTTGTATTCAATTTAAAAAATATAGTGTGTACTATTATGTGTTATTCATGTTTGTGAATTGATAATTTGGATGAGTTTATAAATTGATTCCTAGTGATAATGTAAATGCTCATTTTTCTTGATTTATTTATTTGAAAAGTCCTACAGGCACAAGTCCCATTTACAGGCTCCTCACTCACACATACATCAAAATACAATAAATAACATACAAATAAATTACATATACATTTAAAATATCTGAATTTAACTTTCAAGAATTAACTGATGTACCTTAGATTTAAAACGGCTCAAATTACCTAAAATATCAAGTTCTGAACCATTTCGCAATAAATTATTGAAACTGTTCATGCATCTCACAAGTGGAGAATATTTAAATATATCAATATGACAGCGCAGTAGACAAAACAAAAATTCAAACTGTTTCCAGCAGACAGGTATTGCAATGTAGCTTTAAATTGCCAGCATGCATTTTGTGTAACTGGCATTTTAAGTACTTCACCTCATTAAGTTGAATAAAAATTGTTTTGCTTCGTTTCAGTCTATGTCAACATTTTCTAATATGAGTACATTATTAGCAAGATTGGTCCCCCGATGTACAGACCCAGTATTATCAATAAGACAGAATGCTATAGATTGTGTGCAGTTGGTCTTAAAAACCGCACTCAGATATGAAGGTATAGAAGTTTCTGGAGTTTTGACGTTTGCGGTTTTATTGGTTTGACTATTCTGACTCAAGATGGTCAACAAATGAAATGAAATGTGCACATGTGACTAGTAAACTTATAAATATCATAAATTTTCATGTATGAAATGTGTTATGGCATTATATGAATAGTTCACCTCAACTGAACATCAACACAGTCACTTCCTGACCTGTAAAGGCCACACATGCTTGTACTTTTTTGATGATCGAGCAGAGCTCATGGTTGACCACACTTATCATCATCTGTCTGCCGTTTTTAGCTCCGCTGTCGACTTTGTCGAGCAGAGCTTAGCATATGAGTGATTGTCCATCAGCGTCCGTCGCCCGTGTCAATGTTTTACTTTTTCGACTTCTTGAAAACTACAAGCCTGAATGCTTTAATACTTGGTGTACGATATATTTACCTTGGGTAGACCTCTCTTATATTTGTTCATTTCATGATGATATCTTTGACATTTTTGGTGAAAAGTGATATTTTTGACTTCTTGTTAAAAACGCAAGTCTGATTGCTTTTATATTACATATATTGGTATTACATGTGGACCTCTCGTAGATTTGTTCATTTTGTGATGATATCTTCAATTCTCTAATTTTGATGAATATTTTTGTAGTTTTTGGTAAAAGTGATATTTTTGAATTCTTATTGAAAACGGCATGTCCAATTGCTTTGATACTATACATATAGTTCATTTTCTAAGGATATATTTTGTTCTTTAATTGAAATGTGCATTGCTAACAGCAGAGCTATCTCAGCCGTCAGGCTGCTTGTTCATTCAAACGACTTCTCCAAACTGTCGACTTGGATGTCTTGCTATTCATACCACACCTGGAAGCATCTATTTTTAGTGCATTTTTTAAAAATTTGTTTGCATATTTTCTCTGAAACCACCTGCAACATTGCTTTGAAATTCATAATAAACACACCTAGTCTTTCTCAGTACACATTGTTTTAGAAAATGAACTGGATGGGCCAATGTTTCCGAGAAATGCCCAATACGTTTTATACCTTTGCTGCTTTTTTCATATCAGACTGCCTCAGTATATTGTATTATTTTGTAGGTTTCTCACCAGAACACAAGGACCAAATGGTAGATGCACTGCCAGTACTTAAAGATAGGGTTATGAAAGGAGATCCAAATATTTTATTTAGTGTTGTTAGTGACCTTTCTAAAGTAAGTTTTCCTTATCGTTCAAACTGTTGTAACAGTCATCTGTTGGTATCTCTATAGATTACTGTGTGGCATAATTTGGTATCTATCATGATATCTTTTACTTTATTGTATCAAAATAGGAATGATGACTGTATTTAATGATATATTTGTATTTCCATGATGGCGACAAGTTTCAAACTGAAGTATATAACTTTGTTTCAATTGTATAGTATAGCAGGTTACAGTTTTGTTCATATGTATTATTTCCCCCAGGTGTTATCCAAGAAGATTCCTTCTGATCAACTGAGAAATTTTCTATTCCTGTTGTTTGATGGTTTGTTAGATTTCCAATCGCATAGCTCCAGTGGTGCCTGTGTTGTACTGAATAGTGTATTTAAATCTAGAGGACATGAACTTCATTCTGATGTAAGTGTTTTTAACACAAAATACAAACTGGAAACTCTTTAACTAAACATGCCTTGGTTTTTAGCTCTGCTGTTATCTTAGATGACAATTATCTTCAATCTTCTATTTTTGTCATTATTGGTAAAAAATGCTATTTTCAACTTCTTCTTGAGAAATATTAGCCTGATTGCTTTGATGTTATATATATACATGTATATGTACCTTGGGTGGACCTCTATCAGATTTGTTAATTTCGTGATGATATCATTTATCCTCTATTTTTGGCAAATATTTTTGTAATTTTTGGTAAAAAGTGATATTTCAAATGCTTCTTGTACACTGCCAATTATTTTTGTGAACAATTTGTTTGATGAAGTTTAGTTGACATCTTCTCAACAGTCAAACACAAACTACTTTTGTATATGGTCTAAAATTAACAAACAGATCGAAAAATGTATAGAAAAGCAAAATAATGCTAACTTGTTGGTGTGGAAAATTAACGTTATTAACATTAAAGTTATTATGGATGCCAATTTTGAGCCATAAATTAATAATAAACCTAGATTAAGAAATACATTTGCAGAGCACAAATAAAAGAAGTTGCTATTTTACTGTTTGTGTGAAGGTAGTTGTGGAGCCATCTAATATATTGCAATAATTTCAAACGAACAATCACAAGTGTTGTGCAAAAGAACTTCTGAATAGGTTTATGTGAATATGTACTTTAGTCACCTAAAACAACATTGAAAACAAGATTATTAAAACATTGGACTGTGTGAACGTGCTCTCTAACTTGGGAGAATTAGCATATTCATATCATCACAAATAGTAATTGGATGTTCATATAAGAAAATCAATTGTAGCATTTTACAGAGTTCCATTTGTATTCTGATTCATGACCATAATGCCTACTCGGTCCTTAGACTATCACTCTATTCTTCCAACATATACATTCTATACTAATATTAATTAACACAATAATTGCATCTGTATGTGTTTCAGATTGCTGATATCATTGATGAACTACATGATAAATTAACCAATATACAGTACCCACAGACCAGAACTGGTACATTACGATCTATTAGAACGCTGTCTTCTCATAATTTACCTGCAGTACTTAATGCATTACTCAGTTACCAGCTGCCTTTTGATGAGTAAGTACATCATACATACATGTACAGCTAGACAAATCTCATCAAAGATTTAAACTACACCAGATTTATGCCAACCTTTGCCTTCATAATACATTGTGTATTCTATTGTACATGAATATATAACTTGTGCTGCAAGTATGATTTTAGCAGACATAATATACAGAGTTCCTAATAACATTGTCCTATTTACTAAAACAGTAGTGTGAAGCCATGTGGTTGACATTTAGGACAAGTGACATTCAGATGCTATTTTACCGGTATTCAAGATCTGATATTTTTGTATTTTTTGCAGCCATATTGTAGATTGCTGGAAGATAATTGCTAAAGATGCACAGTTGGCAGGAAACGTATTTGACCAAATTCTAGATATTTTAGCTCAAAGTATGCCATTTGAAGAAAAGATTGATCAAAAAACCCAGAAAGTCCTTTCTAGATATGCAACTCCTCTACCATTGACAGTAAGTGTTTTGCATCTTCAACGTCATAGGTAAAAACAAATCTGCCATTCAAACTTTTAGATTGGTTTGGATATTTGTACAAATAGGTATATTTTTTGAATTTTAACAATGATGTGTTTTTAAGTAAAATTATACTATTTGAAATATTGACTTTGACAGGCTGTATGTGCATTGTGTGAAATATTTAAAGTAGAAGAAACAGAGGAAGTGGTTATCAGTAATTTCCACAGACTTTTCTCATCGTTATTGGTGTACTGCGGTTGTATGGCTGGAACAAAAGCACCACGAATGGAATCAAGGAAAGAAAAGACTAGTAAAAAAGAAAAGAAGCCTTCAATACGAATTCATGTCAATATCAACCCTGCAAGGTATTTAAAATTAATCACCGTCTCTTAGTGTGAAATACAGTTTCTGCAGTCTGAGTTTTCACATTATAGGAGATAAGTCTTAACAGTACATTGTGTTTTCAGATTGTCTGGTGAATCATTGAGGCAGTTATTTATCCGTATTAAATCTGATGATTTACTGGCTGTTCTTGACAAAGACAATGTATGGGTTACACTGGAAGATCAAAATAAATACCAGGAAGGTGTCACTTGTATGGCAAGGTAACATGAAATTTTGTGTACCAGCAATTGTTAGTACCTGTGCATGTTCATCCACCTGTTTGTGTGCCTGTGACCGATGTTCAAAATTTGAATAAAATTGATATTTGTTGGCAAACATGTCAATATGCTGGAAATGACAAAAAAAATATTGCATCAAATTTGACTCCTGGCATACAGTGTACATACATGCCTTCAGAAAAAAAAAACAAAAAAAACAGAAGGATAACACAACGAATGTAGAGAAAATATGGCTTGGGTTGTTTATCATATAATATATATTATATATTTATTATAATATATTGGGTGCAGGTGCATGTTATTTGTTTTTGCTTTACCTCTAATGAAATGAAAAGTATAGGCAATAGCTTGTCTGTCTGGTGTCGTCGTTAACAATTTCTTGTGTCCAGGATAGCTAGAGTAATTTTTCTTCAATCTTCCCCATACTTTATATTATCAAACAAACAATGTATAATCATGGTGCAGTTAAATGTTGGCAAGTGTGGCACATGTATTTTTGAAGTTATCTTCAAAGTCTTGGCTGTACTTGGTATTTCAAAAATGTCACTTTTAAGGACTGCCCTTTGATACAATACAACCTTGAAACCTATTCACCAATCATCTAATCTGTGTGTTTGACCTGTTTTACATTAGCTAATATATTGATGTCTCATTCACAAATCTGAGTTTTCTTATACAGGGAAAGCTTACATATCAGTATTGTTTATATGCTATGGCCAATTCTGTTTATTTGTCCACATTTTCTTGTTTTAATAGAGAGATTACAGAATACTATCCACAACAAGTTGCTAAGATAATATCATGCTTGACATCCTCTCTATCAAGTCTGCATGATCCACAGAGAATAATTGGTGTATCATTTTTTGCAGAGGTGAGTTGGACAGTTTATTTTGATTAAGATATTTTCTTGTGATTGTGATTGAGTATCTCCAGTTGTGGTGTAACATGACTTGGTGATGTCGTTTTAGTTGTAGCACTGCACATAAGTTATTCAGTATGTTAACATATACAGTACTCTTGAATACTGTTGTTTTTGTTGTGAACTCTTGCCGGAAGCAATTCCTTCTAGGAGAAAGGCAAAGGTTGTTTGATTTTTCAGTTATCCATGGCAACTTCAGCCTATACACATATACTACTGTTTGTGCATTTTTGATGCATGCCCAGATAGGTGCATATTGTGTGTAAAATGATGTCATTTTGGGAACATTTTTGTTGTGCATCATGACTGTTGATTTTCCAATCATAATACAGTATCTAATTAATTTTATAATCCCATTAATTTTTTTCTTTTAGCTAATTAATCAACGGTGTGCAGGTGATATGTCATTGGTGGAAATGTTAATGAATAATTTATTAGGGCGGTTGGTGGATTCATCCTTGATTGTGAGAATGTTCTGTATTAGGGGATTAGGTAATATTGCTAGTGTTGGATCAGAACAGGTAATTATATCGCTTATTTCCATGCAGGTGTAGTCTAACATTTAACATCTCAAATTTATTTATTTATTTATTTTTTTGGCTTTCGATGAAATTACATCAGAGCAACAACTACAGCAACTGTTTAATTCACAACTTCTACATGATTTTACCGATGAGATTAAATGTTCCAGAGAATATTTTGAATGTATTGTCAATTTGTAATATTTTGCGGAAATTAAGCCTGAGAATCAGCTTTTCTTCATTTTTTTTAGGTTCAGAAATTCTGTACCACTGTATTATCAGCTATGATGGCAGGCATGGACGATAAAGAAGACCCAGATGATGATATCACATTAGAAGCCATGTCAGGATTATCAAAAATATTGGCAGAAATTGATGAAAACAATATTAGAGCCATTCTTATTAATATTACACTGAGAATTAGACCATGCTTTGAAAAGGTATTGAACAGATTATCTTGTGTGTATGGTGCAATTCCATGTGTATAGACAACCTTAAGGGGATGATGTAATGAAATAGGTTTTACTTCCTTGTACTTATCATTTGTTTGTATCTCTAGTTGATACATATCTGTATTTTATATGTAACTAAAATGTAGACATTTTAATTTCCATTACAGGATAGGTCATCTGTACGAGCAGCTGCATTCTCACTCTTTGGCAATTTAAGTAGATTTGGTAATGGTCCATCAAAGGCTCCCTTCTTAGAACAGATCCACACAAACTTTGTTAGTTTATTATTACATGTTAATGATGAAGATTCTGAAGTCAAAAAGGTGACTGCATTTTCCATCTGGTTAAATAAAATGTTACCTGTGACATTACCAATGTCGTAGATTGCTGTGCTCTGTTTAATTCACGTTTTTTCTTACCAGGCATGCAAGTTTTGTCTTCGCCAGTTTGGACCATTAATGGGATCAGAGAATATGAATGAAATGTTTCAGAACCATTTACTTGAGGATGCTAACTTAAGTTATGGAGAGTTTATGTATGATCTCTCAAAGGTTTTAGTAAGTATAAACACAGTACAATTTATTTGGCAACTTTTTTGAAGAATGCAAAGTTTAATTGCAAATTTTGGTGTTGTGTTCATATCTTTCAGAGCACACTTCATGTGTGCGGATGTTAATGGATTTGGACATGAATAGTGATATAGCCTATTTCACTTTAGATGATTAGGTGTACAAGGAAACAAGAATAAAACCTTAAGTTAAATTAGTCCACCCAGAGTCCTGGACCACAGTGTCCTTACTATTATTTTGTTCATTTGTAACGGTACAATATTATTGTACCCATAAAAACATACAGGCTGATGACTGACGAATAAATTAGGATTTATTTCACCTTAACTGTTTCAGGTGTGACTAAAGTGGTTAGAATTTCATAACACTGAACATCTTGATAAAAAGCAGTTCAGATTTCATAAACTTTGTTGTTTTATTTACAAATTTGTAACTCCATGTTTTGTTTCAGATTGCTGACTTTCCAGACAAAGTAAATTTCTATGTAATGGGCAATGTGTCATTTTTCAAGAGTCTATGGTCCGACATAAGAGGCAATGCTGCTATGCTTTCTGGTTTTCTGCTTGGTAATCTACGACAAGATCAAAGAAATTTAATATCCAAAGAACATGTGTGTGGAGGTATGCTTATCAGTAAATTACTTTCAAATTATAGAGTATTAACACTTTTTAATACACATTAAAATAGACATACAATTATTCCATGACATTGAACATTCTGATTACTGTAAACTGATTGATATGTATATATATTTTTCCTGCTCCAAATTCAGTGCAAATATTTTCATGTTTTGTAAAGTTGTCATTGAATTTAATCACCATTTTGGGACCATAGACAGTTTCAGATTTAGCTTTTTTTGATCAAAAGGTTTTTTATAAAGATTTCATGTGAGGAGCAATCTATACAAAATCGTTTTTGTAGATGTCAAAAGTTGAAAATGGCAATAAGTAATCCTTTCTGATATACCATTCAACATTGCACAGAACTATCTGGCTGTCATTCATCTTTACATGTCCTTCCATTATATTTTTAATACCACCATCAAAATCGTTTATTTTTCAGCATTAATTCTGCTACTGAAAGACCAGTCAGCTGAAGTGAGAATCAAAGCTGCTGAAGCTATGAGCCTTCTTTATGACTATTAGTTTACATGTTTTAATTAAGTTCAATGCTTATTTAGTTTTATTTGTATATCAAAAGCATTATTGAATAGGTGATTTTCCGTACAATTGCGAGATCTCGCGAGATGCATGAAAGACGCGCGTCGAACGTCTGCCGCAAAAATCGAACGATTTGATTTTGAACTCGAATTTCCTTATTTCGTAGCTCACACTGACCGGCCGATCATCGACAGAGGAATATTGCTTCCGAATACCCTATCATCAAATGTGGACAGCACATTATTAAGCATGGAAATGTCCCCAAAATACTTTCGCGTTTGTCGAATCCCACGCGATGTTTGACGCGACTACGACGCTATGACCTTTGTTTGTCCTGTTTTTACGTTCGATTTTACGCATAACGCGTGATTCTCGCATTGTACGGGAAAATGGTCTATTGATAATGGATCAGTGGAGTGTATAAAGTTTTATGGAGTGAATAGTCAAGGAAAATATGCATGTAGTATGTTTTATGGTCTTTTATTTCAAACTAATTACAACATTGCGGTTTTGAATTACAATATTATTTTATTATTGTCCATGCAAATATAAAATTATTATTGAAAAGCTGAAAATTATTCAAATATTTAATACTTAATCAATTAAACATTATACCTAAATCTAAAATCAATCTCATAAAGGATTCTGGCTCTTCCTATGACAAAAATTGAAGACATGTACCAGCTTACCATATTTACATATGCCATTGAAGTAAAATGTGTATCACAAGGTAAAGTTTATCAGACCAAGAACAAGTGTCTGTTTTGTTACCTTGCCCGTACCATCAAAGATGGAAGGGAAAGGTATATTAAGGGAAAAATTTTGTCCGGCGTTGTCGTCGTCGTTAATAATTGTTATTGTGTGCATAATAACTTTATCAAACTTGGTCTCCTTATTCATCAGTATAAAGTCTTCCCTGAGTTTGAACAACAGATGTCCTGTATGAAAATATCATGCAAAAATTGAGAAAATCTGATAAAATATTTTGACTGTTTCTACTTGACTGATCTCAGTGGAAATATTCATTGTTGTATGTGTTCAATGAAGCAAATGATTTATCTTGTAATAATATCCTTGGTTTCAAAACCAACTCATAGAGAGATTGCACAGTCTGATACACATTTGCAAACCTACTAATAAAATTTTTACAGAAAACAAGATGTCAGAAAATCAATATAAGCACTCCTATGAACCTAACTTTGATCAAGATCTGAAGCTAATAGAAAATCTGTTTAGTTCAAAGTTATCAAATCAAAAACAATACATAAAAAATACATGAAAAGCATTCTAAAATATATGTATTCTGTATTTGACAAACAGTTCATTCGACAAATGAAAACTCACAGGAATATGTTTCAGCTATTAGAACAGAATGATAGAGTTTTTATAATACTAGTTTAAAAACGCACTTCAAAGATTGCAGTGTTTGAAGATGTAGATTCTCAGGAGGCAACAGTACTGTTGACTTCTCCCTCCACTGGACACCAACTAACTTTTTAAGTTGATTTGCATACAAAGCACAGCTTGCAACAAGATAGCTATTCATAAAGGGTGTTTTTTTTTTACTTTTCATATAATACAGTAGTCACACAATGAGGCAGTTCATATTTGTCTCAGTGAATCATTAATTTTTGACAGACACCTGTACAAAATACTTGGACAAAAGCCATCTAAAATTTTCTGTTATCTTGCATGTTTTATGAATCTATTCACGTCTAAATGCAGCACTTTTTTTTTGCAATGAGGCATTTGTTTTTATACTAAAATATCTGAATTACTTTGAATAAAGCTGGAAATTATGTTCCTTAAAATAATTAAACAAATAAGGCACCAATGTTTTTGTAAGATATTTACATCTTTTAAGGACATTCGGTCGACTGATTCCCCACTGTTGTTTCAACCCCAAATTAATTATGACAATGCATATTTATATTGAAACAAACTATGATAAAGGGAATTATATTATATAACAAAGGGCAAGGTCACCAGAGTTCAACTATGTTTTACTACTAACATGCAGTTTGAGGGAATTTCTTGCATTGAATCCTGTATATGTACTGTGCAATAATAAAATTGATGAGTGTAACAAGCAGAGATGATCACATTAGTATTTCTCTTAGTCTGTAGTTTTTTGTAAGCGGTTACAATATAATTTATACATTTTAATTTCTGTATAGTGCATG